GCAGCCTCTGTAGCTGTGGAGTTCCTGCATTTTGGCCTTGGCAGTGGCAAATAAGACCAATCCCTTCATGCTGGCAGTGAAAAAATGCAGGGCGGCTTCGAGCTGTCGAATACTTGGGCAGCTTAAGAGAGAGCGCACTTTTGTCGCAGTGAGGAAGCTGATGTGAAGCGGCAATGACTGCACTCGTCGCAGAGTCTCACTGATTGCCGGTCGTCATCACCATCATCACGATCAGCGGGCAATGGCTTTAAAAAAACGCCTTGAGCTTCGGATGCATCTCGAAGCGTTTTGAGCACTTGCACGCTGCACCCCACCACCCACGCCCCCACGATCAGCTGAGCTCCTCCAACATTGCCATCGAGAGTCGCTTCGTGATCTCGGTTTGATTAGGGGTTTCGACGCGTAGGATTTTTTGTTGCCAACGTTCGCCAGCAAGCGGGTCGTGTGCTGTGGTACGGGCCCAGGTTCAACGCTCCTTCTCAACCCAGCCACTCACATCTCAACCTTGACGAGTTCAGGGTTTTCATGCAGTCTTGGGCAGTCCTTTCCCAGACTTTTGTGAACGCCAACTAGGGTGGGAGGGCATGCGGGTTCCTTCCATGCATCCGCCGCGCCCGCCGAGCTGCGGCCCCTGGTTTGCTTTGACACCCACCTAGCCACGCCCCACGGGGGAACATGTTGGAGGAGAAATCGTTGCATTCACGACTCCTAAAGGTAGGAAATACCGTCAATCAACGTTCTGCGGCCCTACGTTTCAGAGCTTGGTTCGGGTTGTCGGGTTTAGGGCTGAAGACCCGAGCCCCTGAAGCATCGTGAGGGCACATCATGTGTTGGCTTTGAGTACCCGACTCCTGGCTCCCCGCACTCTCTGGCATGCTAGAATAGGAACAGGTTACTTGGGTAATAATTTCCTTCTTTTAAACACGCGGGAGGCACCTTAACCTTGTCCAGCGAGACATGTCTGAAATACTCAGCAGAGATTCTGCGCGAGGTGTGTACAGCATTGCCTGTGTGTGCTAGCCTGCTTTGGAGGGTGGCCGCTGTAACGGAAACTAAAAAAGGTTGTACCGGAAACAAACGGCAAAATGTAGCGGAAAGCAAAAAAAAATGTAACGGAAACAACGGCCCGGCGAGTCGAAACAATGCGCGGCTGTAACGGAAACCAAGCAAAACTGCAACGGAAACCAAAAAGAGATGTAACCGAAATCACGGAAAACTTGAACCGAAACCTACAAAAACCGGCTACGGAAAGGCGCACCAGAAGGGCACGGCTCTTTTTTTTGGGCGTAACAGAAACTACCTGCCTAAGCGAGAAACTACAGCCACAGGAAGGATTAGGGTGCCACGGACTAGCTCTGGGGCCACGGTATTCTACACTGCCGGAAGCTAGCCAGCTCCAAGCCAAAGCCATGTACCCGGACCCCTTCGCTTGTTGCCGAGAATTCCAAAAACACTCAAGCCTGAAGCGAATAAAACCTAAAAGCCTGAAGTTCCATTCTAAACACTGAAGCCTAAACCAAATAAAGCCTAGAAGCCTGAATTTCCATGGGGGGTGGGGGGGGATTCAGATGTTCAGAGTTTGCTGGGCTTCTCTAATCGTGCCGAAGCCTCCACCTTGAATGCTTAACAGCTTCTGGAGTCGGGTGAAACTTCGACGGCAGTTTGAGTTCAGCGGGGTTTACAGCAGCAGTGTTGCTGCGTGACGCGGGATGGTGTGGGCGCCGGCCGACGTCCTACTGCTGCTGAGCCTTCTGAGCAGTTGCAAGTGTTGCTGGTCAAGGTCGCTTGGATGCATCAACTCTACACTCAGGTTAGAATACCGTGGCCCCAGAGCTAGTCCGTGGCACCCTAATCCTTCCTGTGGCTGTAGTTTCTCGCTTAGGCAGGTAGTTTCTGTTACGCCCCGACGCCGTTTCTGTAACGCCCCGAAGCCAGTTTCCGTTACGCCCTTTCGTAGTTTCCGTGTCGTTTTCAGGGGGGCAGTTTCCGTTACAACCCGCCAATTTCCGTAACACACTTTACTCTGCTTTGGAACGGCACAATCCGGCACAAACACTCACAACGTGCAGCCACGAAATCCCTAACCCCTGAAAACCCCTACTTGCAGGTTCATGGTCATGACAAGGAAATGAGATTTTTACCAACCCTACAACCCTAAAACCCAAAACCCGAAAACCCTTCAACACTTAACCCAAAACCCTAGACCCTAAACCCATCCGTGAACCTCCAAGAACTGGCCAGGTCCCGCGCTTGCAGCAGCCTCAGCTGGGGCCTCCTTCCCGCTGTTGCCTGGTAGCTTAGGCTTCCCAAGCGTAGCCTAAAACTCGTTTCCAACGGATTTGGGGTTTGTTGCCACCTGCCAAGCAGACAAGCCCATAAGGGACGACTGAAGGTTTTGGAGTCGCGGGTGAAGTTGACGAAGCAGGCTTCCACAGAGGATGATCACTAATTAACACTTACAATGATCCTGCTTCCTTCTGTCTCACCGCTGCTTGCTCTTGTTCTCTCACATACATGATTCAGGAAGGGAGACGCGCCCCTCACTCATCCTCGCCAACTTAGCACGGGGCAAGATTGTAAAAGGTTCAGGGTTTAGGGCTTATAGGGTTTAGGGTTTGAAGATGAAGAAGTTTACCGAAGATCAAAGGCTCAATGCGCCAGAATCCCAAAGCCCCTGTGCTTCAGCTGCTGTCTCTGGATCTTTCACGTCTTGCCTCCAGCGTATTCCGTGCAGAGTCTCTTGAAGAGGCCTCGAAATTGCGCCACCTGCAGAGAGCAAGGGTTGGGTTCCAACGCTTTTGGTTGGGGGTTTGGGGGTCACTTGCCTTCAAAACCAGGCACCAAGTGCTCTCGGCTAGTCAGCGAATAAGTTGAGGGCCATAGGCAGACGCAAGTCCTGACGACAACCCATCGCCGTGGCTAGACCCTTACGGCCACACAGAAAGAACCCAAAAGTCTACGAGGCTCCCAACCTTAAGGGGCTGCTCCCTGAAAACCAGGGTCCATTCTTAGTGCAAACAACCCCCCCCCCCCCCAACCCCTCAAACCCTGCCTCGCCCTTGTTGAACTTGAGCGAATTCAGCACGTTGTTCTCCTCGGCCGTTGGCGCGGGGTTCGATTCAGGGCTTCGGAGCTCAAAGTTTCGACCTCCTCCCACTCACACATCCGCATGCGCAGACGCCCAAAAAAAGTCACTGGGAAGAGGCAGGTTACCAACAAAGCCGAAGCCATAAAAGCTGAAACGCGCCGGCTACTAAAGCCAGAGTAAGTGGGGTGGGGGGGAGGGCACGGGGAGGGCGCGGGCACGGCAAGGGCACGGGCAGGGCACGCCAAGGGCACGGGGAGCACTTGCAGAGGAGGGCGCGAGGTGAGGGGGATGTAAGTTATGGTCTACAGGGTACCAAACAGGGTCCTCCCTTTAGATCAACCTTCCCCTAGCTTGAACCAGAATCCCAAACCGTTGGCGCGCAGTCCTTGATAATAACCCTACCCTCCCTTACACCTTCAGGCTTTCGGGTTCCCACGTCATGGCCTTCTCGGTGACCTCCCTCAGATGCCTCACGGAAGTCAGCTCAAGCCAGGGTATCGAGCTCGGGGAATGTTGGGTCTTGGGCTGTGGGCATGTAGGCTGGTTCTCTAAACGGCCACTTCTTGGGGCCCCTGTTATCATACGGCTCATGCTCCGGGGGGCCCAAAAAGGGACCCTAACTATTTAGAGACATGGCCGAATGGTTTACATGTGTGTGTGGATATAAAGGTGTCGATAAATAAATATGAATATAATGAATATATAGAAAACATACACACACACACACACACACACATATATATATATATGTATATATATATATATACATATATATATATGTGTGTGTGTGTGTATCTATGTATTTCTATATGAATTTGTACAGTATATACACATATGTGTATGGGTTTCGGGCCTAAAGCACCTCGTGCCTTATTATAATCACTCACCCTTGTGGTTCAGTGTCGTTGTAGTTGTTGGGGGGTTGGGGGGGTTCCTTCACCTAACTTCCTCTCACCCAGGCCTCGCGACCAGTTGCCGCGTGAAGTGCAGCACTGGCATGAAACGGACACCTTGGTGGTTTTGGTGCTGCCCTTGGTGTATTTACCTGGTGTTTAGAGTTTAGGGCTAGGCCAAACTTTCTCTTCACGACAAGAGGGGCCCCTAGTTGCGCAAAACACTGGTGATCGCCTTGGCCGAAACTGCACCTCAGCAAGAGCAACGTGGACATTGGAAGCAAGCACACCTCCCCGGCGAAGCTTTCCGAACGCGTTCCGGGGGGGGGGGGGGGGGGGGGGGCCGGGGGGGCGGGGTGACACTCGAGTGGACTTGCCGAGCTGCGTGGGCTGTTGTTTTGACCCGCTTCCTTGGCTGCAGAGCAAGGCCGCGGGAACTTCCCAAGAGCTTCGGTGATCAAGCACCAACTTTGGGTTGGGCATCAGGGCACATCAAGATGTTGCAAGCAAGAACCCTAAGAGCAAGGCCGCGGGAACTTCCCAAGAGCTTCGGTGATCAAGCACCAACTTTGGGTTGGGCATCAGGGCACATCAAGATGTTGCAAGCAAGAACCCTAAAGGAACTAGTGGCGCTCAGGTTGCCATCAGTTCAGCATCACAGGCGACAGCTTTTTTTGTCGCGCCAGCCTGTGAACACAAATGCCAGTGCCGAGGTGAATGTACTTCAGTGCGCCCGTTGTTTACGAAGGGCAAAATCAACTTTGCTCATCGCTCAGCGAAAATTTTAAGCAAAAGGCCCTGAGGCCGACTGCCAGCCCTAGCTCTTGCCTGTTCTTTAAGAAGTTGACGATGCTTTCACGCGGCTTTCTTCGCTGGACATTGAGGGACTGCACGGATTAATCCATTAATCAACTGTAGGGACCTGCTGGCAGTGCCTCCTGTTCAATGGCCATGCTCGCTGCTAGCCGCTACAAGGCTTCTCTGAGCATCACAAAATCCTTCAGGCGTCCCTGAGCCCTTCACTGGACAAGCGCTTCCACCACCCTGTCCACACTGCCGCCAAAGGCGGTCAGCAGGTTCCGCAGCTCCTCCACATCCACCGTGAAGCCCTGCTCCTGAAGTTGGGCGATCTGCTCGGCATAGGTCGGGGAGGCCTCGGCAGCGTCCTCCCAACTCGATGTGGCCGTGCTGCAATTCGCTGCGCTGAGAGACTCCGCATGCTGCATGAAGGCCAAGATGTCCTTCACTTGATCCCTCGGGAGGCGATAGCGGGCAATGAAATCTCTGGCCACCTGCTCGCGATCGTCGGCCGCAGTCCATGAGATCTGGAGGTTGCGACCGTCGTCCACCTCGACAGGGAAGGCGTATCGGGCATGGTTTGGCTGCTTCTTCACTGCCTCCGGCTCTGTCAGCTTCTTTTCATCTGGAATCACTTCGGCCGCGGACATGGACGCGGCGGCGGCAGGCACCTTTTGCGCTGGCGTTTCAACTTGCATGCTCTGCTCCATCGGAGGGGCAGAGGGCTCCTGGGCAGTTGGAGGCGCAGATGTCCCGAATGGCTGGAAGCCGTGGGGGTCGGTCTGCATGGGCGGCGTGCTTGGCCTCACACACGCCCTGCCACCAAACAAGCTTGCGAGCCCGGCCCAGGGATTCTCGCCGCGCGGGTTCTGGCCCCCACCGAACAAGCCGGCCAGGCCCGCTAGAGGATTCTCCTGAGCGGGGTGTTGGACACCTGCGCATCCTGTCAGCCCACCCAGTAGCCCGGCCAGGCCTGCCAGAGGGTTCGCATTGCCAGCGGTGCTGCACTCGGCGCCGCTGCTGCCGTTGCCCCCATTGTTTGTGTTGACAGCTCTGGCGAGGCACTGTCGGACAAGACTGCGCACCAAGCTAGGGATGATCATTGTTCCACCTTGCCATGGGTTCGCCTGACCGGACAGAAGGCTGCCGAGGCTGACTGGGAAAAGTCCGGACACAATGCACTCGAAGTCGTGCTCTGAGCACTCTGCCCCATGGACACCGTGCTTGCGCGCGTAGCAGGTGCCACACAGGTCGTAATTGGGGCAGCTCGTGCACTTGAACCGCGGACCCTTCAGCGGCTCGGCATCACAGCCGTCGCAGATAGCCTGGTGCGTGAGCGCGCCTTCGAGCATGCCGCACGAGTCCATCGTCTCCAGTTGCTGGATCAGCTCGCGGTGCTGCGATGCAAAGAAGGCAGTCAAGAGCTTGACCTGATCTTCGAAGCGCAGCAGGTGGAGGCCGGTGACCAGCGCCGACACCAGCTGCCCGGCGGTATCGGGCGTCGCCTCGGCCAGAAAGGAATCCAAGAGGGGCACCACATGCCCAAGGCCGGGCGGCAGCAGGTCGCGAAGGTCGCGCAGGGCATCCTTCAGTGGGGCGTGGCTGATGCTCTTGCACACCCACTGGCCGACCTCGGCCTCGTGTTCTTCCACCAAAGCCACGGCCTGTGGCATGTGGCAGACCACGACACTGGCCAGAACTGTGGGAGACAGGATCTGGCCTATTATCGTTGTACAAGTAGTCTGGGTCTGCTCACGGCCCTCCGATTCTTTTGGGCCCGTGCTCTCATCCACAGAGGAGTCGGCCGCGCTAACTTCCACGAAGTCGTCGACTTCCATGTCCGGCTCCTGCGGGCCTGGGGTCGCGTTCGTGGCGACACCGGAAACAGAGATGATCTCCAGGTCACTCTCCTGCGGATCCTCTGGATCCTGCGGCACCTTGGCGTCCACATCGACCACTGCCGCGGCTGGCTTAGGAAGTGTCGCGGTGCTCACCGTGCACGGTGCATTCGGTGCATTCGGTGCATTCGGTGCCTCGAGCTCCAACTTCAGGATGATCTTGGAGTTGTTGCCGGGGAGGGCCGTGGTGCTTTTCGTCTTGGAAACCTCCAGAAAGTCGGCAAAGGATGCTTCGCAGAGGGTGCACACGTCACCCTCCTCGTCCAGGTACTTGGCCGTGAACTGAGGCAAGTCCGGGAAGAGTTCGGAGGCGCGGCGCGTGAGGCCTTGATAGCACAGGTCCCCCTTGTCCAGCAGGCAGCGGCGGACTTCAGCACAGTAAGTGGCCTTGAGGACGGCTGCCATGTCTGCAGAAAGGATCGAGGGAGCAGGTGTGAGCAATGTGCGCTCAACGAATTGTGAAGTCAGGACAACGCCTTAAACTCGGATGCTAGAGCCACATGGATATGGAGGGCTTAAGCCTTCAGGGAGTTCAAGGGCTTCTTTCCTAAGCTGCTGCTTCACATGGGGCCCGCAGCATGAGGTGCTCCATAGGACCACGAGGTATGGAATACCTGCCCCCCCTACTTTGTACGCCCTGATTTGGAACCCTCATGCCCCTCAAACTTGCAAGAAGCGCATTCCCAGCGTCCGCTTCGCTCACGCCAGCCTCCCTAGCAGTCTGGCGCGCGTTGTTCAGGGACTCGAGAAGCCACATGCGCCCACCTTTTCAGCCGAGAGAGAGAGAGAGAGAGAGAGAGAGAGCAAGGGTGGGAGAGGTAGGTTTGGGGCTCAACTTTTGTTTGGGCTTAGGGCTACATAACGGCTTGGACTCTCCTCCCACTCGCATGCAAGGAAGGCAAGGCTTAGACGGTTTCAGGCTTAAGGCTTAAGGGTTCCTGGGGAGAGAGCTTCGGTTCAGGGATTCTTAGAGGTTTCTGCTGGGCCCTCCCAAGACTTCCTGAACCCTTGAAATTTCGTTGCTCTTCAGGAGCTTAGTTTAGGTTACCGTGGCAAAGTACATGGCATGGTTTGCTGCTGATGGCAGCGTATATTTGAGTTCCCGAACAGCATCCCGTTGAAGCGTTCTCCGGTATACTTCTCTCAAAGGCAATAGAAACGACTGCCCCAATTGCTCCCGAGTTTGGGAACCCTTCTTTGCATAGTTTGGGAACCCTAAACTGGCGCTTCTGCCCCAACCCTTAAGGCGTTAAGACCTTGTTGCACCTAAGGGGTCGCCCCGAGATCCTGCCAGGTGCACGGTTGGGCTTTCAGGCTCTGGGAGGTTGGCCCAGAAGGGGTGCCCAAGCATGCAGGGCGTCGTACGGCAACCCCCTCGAATGCCGAGGCCACCGCCTTTGGTATGGACATCCTGCACATCCTCCATCATGTACCTTGCTGGTTCAGCCCTCATCCCTACACCCTTGTAGATGTCCAACCGTGCAACTCAGTCGACTAATGAATCTGACTTCCACATATCGTCCCTTGGCATACTCTGCTTTGAATGGCTGCATATACTCTGCTGTCTTGCAGTCCACACTAAGTCCTGTCACAAGCCACCAGGTCATACCAGGTCCGTGTTGGACGTTCTGCCACACTTACAGGGGTTTGCCTTGCGAGCGTGCAGAACTTCTGGTCATAGTCTGCTATAACGATACGACTCAGAGCTTTCTCCTTCTAACCCTATCAACCCTATGAACCCCCCACGATGCCAAGCGAGATGCAAGAACTCCCGGAGGCAGATGGAGCCATCCTGCGCTTTGCAGGTGAACTGCATCTCAAGGTCCACTGGCGTCCGTTTTGGGGGGTTGGGGTGCACAGGGGTTTCAGGGGCTCTACCCCTGGTGATCCCTCTGTGTATACACCACATGCCTTCTCCTCCGGATTCCTGAAGGTATCAGGGTTGTCTGCATGTTCCGCCTAAGAGAATGCGGAGGCAAGACCTGAAGCACCCGCTGTGGCGTTGCTCGGTGGTCCTTCTGATCGCTGTGCTTCTCGAAGATTTTCTTCAGCATGAGGTACTCCACTTCCTGGCCGACATTGCGTTGACCACGTGTGGGGGTTGCTCAAAGCGAGGGTCCCCTTTGTGCGGGCCCCTAGCCCTTGTTCCTGCAACTTGGTCTCATTGCCCCCAATCCCTCCCGCTTGGGAACTTCCAAAATCAGGCTGGCACGAGCTACTTTCCGAATCGGCTCATGGGGGCTGCTGGTTTTTAAGTCTGGGGACGGCTACGCGGCTACTCATGGAGGGGTGATTCTCAGGTTTCGACACAGGCAGGCGAGATTCTGAGTTCGAAGGTCCACAGGATGGCTCATGACGTTCATGGGCAGCAAGAACATTCCACTACCCAAAACCGCGCCTTCGGGCTTCGAAGCCTTCAAGGAAGCTCTTTGGAGGAGTGCCGGAGGTCGGGGACACAAGCTAAACACCCCGGAATCCGCAACCTTCACCCTGAAAGGTGGACGATTCTCTCACTTTTGCCCCCCAAGATGTGGACGGCGGTGCCTTGAAGCTCGCGTACTTCCGGCTCTCCAGGGGGATTTGCTTGCGCAAGTTCTCCTGTTGAGGCCCAGGACGATCCCTATTTCGGTACCTGCAAAGATGGGCGAACGCAGAGTTGACTTTAGCCTCCAGCAGGGTCGAAGGGTTTGGGGACCCCTAGATGCCCAAAGCCCCGCGACAAACCTTGCGCCTCTCAACTCCGAAGCTCTACAGCACCGCGGAGCCAAAAAAAAGCTAATCCCAAAAAACGTTGTGTTACCTTGGCCTTAGGCAATCCACTTGTGCCTTGCATCTTACATGCACACGCGCCACTGTCTTGCTTTCAACCCCCCCAAAGAAACCTCCTGAAACACCCTTACCGATCAACCCCCCAGGCTTCGACGTGTGCGGTCCGCCAGGGTCGCGAAGGTGTCGAAGTCGCCGGCGGCATTCTGGATCTCCGTCGGTGAGGTCTCCGCCTCGGGGCGGGGAGCTTGCCAAGGGAGCAAGCACGCTCTGTCAAAGATCCCTCTTTTTGGGAGCAACCAGAGCTGCACGCCTTTTCAGAGCGGCAGGGGTCGCAACGAGGGGCCGAGGGCTTTCAGGTGTGGGATATGGGGCTTCAGGGCTCGGGGTGCTGTTTTACCCGCCAAGCAGCAAGGGTTTAGGGTTACAAGGGCTCCCTGAACCCTTGAAGCGCCCTGACCCAAGCCTAAAGGACCTCCAAGATACCCGAAAGTCCCTGAAGCCCTATACCGAACAATCCCGGTCGCTTTAGAACCCCCTAACCTGTTAAAACCTTAAGCCCTTTAGAAACCCCAAACCCTAAGCTGACAGAAACCCTGCCAAAAACCCGTGGAACCCCCAATCCCCAACAGATACCCCAGCCCGACCGACTAGCACCTCACACCCTACACCCTGCGCTACGATCCTGAGAGTGGTTTTCTGGACCTAACAGGTTCATTGAAGCCAGAGAGTTCAAGGGGCCTAGAATTGAGGAAAGGCCCTAAAGCCTCAAGAGTGCCCCCTGGGCCACCAGGCCAGCAGCCTGCCCAAGATCTCGGGGTGCTTGTTCAGGCCTCAAGGAAGTGCAAGGGAGCCCTCGTTAAAGCCTATGAAGGGGTTTAGGGTCTAGGGATTAGGGTTCAAGGGTGGAGTGTAAGGGAAGGGGGGTGTGAGGGGCCTGAATTAGAGCTAAACCGAGTCCCAACCAGAAGGCCCAAGTACTGCAGGGTGTCATCTCATTGGTATCAGTACTATTGTTTCAATTCTTTCTATCCTTATCAAGTTCATTCTTCTCCTTACGTGTGCAGCACAGAGCCCGCGTTCTCGGACGGCTTGGGGTGCAGAATCTAGAGCTTCGGGTTGCGCCCAAAATGGCAATTACTCCGAAACTACCCTACCACACAAGCCGACTACCTAAACTCCTCTACCGCTGCAGACTCGGAGCGGGCGTGGAGAGCCTTCTCCACCACCTGCAAAGCCTGCGAGCTGAAGAGCCGCAAAGGTGAGTTTCTGCGGTTGCGTTCCTTCTGAATTGTGCATGGCCAAACGAATCCGCTTCGTGGGGCCAAGATGAGGCTTGGGGTTTGGGGTTCAGGACTCTCCGGGGGGGGAGAGTTCTGGCCACTCGCATAGCTGGACAAAGCTGCCAGGTACTTCGGATAACGAGAGTAAGGAAGGTTTGGAATTGAGATGCCACACGAAAACTCAAAAAAACAGCGCTTTATTTGGAAAAGTGCGCCACCTAGTGCCGCTGCCATCTGCCGCACGCGCAACTTATCATGATTATTTAGTTTAGTTGCTTGCATGTTCAGTGTTCTTTGGTGTGTTTGGCGTTTGTCTTTCGAGTTGGCGTCTTGTGCACGAGCACGTGTACAGAATTTTTAAAGAAACGACGACTCGCCAATGGGTGCTGCGTGATTCACGTGCACATATGGACATGCACATGCACGTTGCTATGTGCATTCATACAAGCATTGCACGCAGACATGGCCTCGTGCCGTGAAGATAAAAGGCATCGTATGAAGTGTACTAAGACCCAGACCCCAAACAAAAACCCTAGCAAGATGACAAGATGACGAGCCATCCCGCGTGTTTGCGCCTTCCTCCCGCAGCGCATCTTGCCTGGCAACTTTCCGGTGGCGAGCCGTACACCCGAAGACACCAAACCTTTGCCACCGGCAAGAGCTGAGCTGGAGATTCATACACCAAGGACCCCAAACCCCGAAACCCCCCAACCACCACCCTGCATCCTCGCTCTGCACCATCGGGACAAGTGGCAACCGTGGGGCTGAGGGCTCTTGCCGCCTGCAACTGCCCAATCACCCGCCAAGTGCTCCCCTAGCAAACTCGCACGGGCGGCTCGAACACCAGGCATTTCGGTAGCCGGCCAAGTTCTGCTCCTGCCCAGGCTCAGACTTCCTCCCCCAACTCCCGGCCAGCGACCCCCAACGACCAAACAACAAACAAGACCTTTCGGATGCCCCCCCCTCTAACCTTTTTAGAAGGATGTTTGGGGCTTCCCCCCCCCAAAAAAAAAACTAAAACTAAACCCTTCTGACCCGAGCCTAAACCCTTAACCCTAAAGCCCCCTAAACCCTAAACCCAACCCCCCCCCCCCCTGCCCCCCGAAGTCGTGTTTTCGCCTTAGGTGCTGGGCTGTTCAGATGTGTGCAGGGTTTTTTTGCGAGGAGCTGCATGTGCTGAACATACATAGACACCGTCCCTAAACCCCAAACCCCAAACCACAAACCCTAAACCCCAAACCCTAAACCCGAAACCCTAAACCCCAAACCCTAAACCCTACACCCCAACCCTACACCCTAAACTTGGCCCTAAACCCGAGACCCCCCAAAACCACGCCCCTAAGACCGGAGCGCCTT